GCTTTTTCGCCTAAGCTTATGCATTCCAACTTGGGAATATGTAATGGCATATTTAGAGACATTCAATCCAATACATTGGAGCCTTATAGTAGAATACGCTTTTTATGGTGGGAAAAGGCCCATGAGGCGAGTTTTGTTGCGAAGTGTGCACCCGCAGTCGTCTAATAGAGCCTTATTCGCGGCGGTGAATTCCCTTGCCTACCTACCCTCACCGATTGGCAACTCCTGCTGGCAAGACTATGGTCGTTCAACAGAGAGGCAGTTCTTAGCATTCACATGAGAATTTAGCATCAAAGAGACTCGCACAACGCGTTAATCAAGAAGAAAACAAGAGTTCTGTATCTGCAAGATTAAGCCGATTCCCGTCTTTCTATCTCTACTGTACCTCTTAGCAGCTCTACTTTCATTATCGATGGGTGACCAGTTGGGTCGCTTAAAATTAAGGGGTCGTCAAATCCCCATCGGCTTTTCTTTCATAACTAACTATGCGTGCGTGTTGAAGTTGCGTTGCGTGTCTGGTTGAAACGTTCTCCGTCAATGAAGTTTTAACCTAGAAACATCATCGGCAGGGGAAAACAATTCAACGATAATTCTCTGATTTGCAATACATATACCCCTTTTTTCGCATTTTTACCTCCCAAATACTCTGGTCGTACGGGCTCATGGGGTGCAGAGATAGTTTCCCTAGCGCTTTAGAATAGCCCACTGTTAGAGCTTTCTCACAGCTTTACAGCTTCAGAGAATCTAGAAAAATAGTCTCTTGTAGATATCAATAACATATCCTAGATGTTCGAAGTGTCTTTTCCTACACCACGCCGTCCATACGTTCTCATGCAGCTGGGATCTGAAACAATCAGCTTCGACTCATACGACGAAAGCCAGTTACCTCTGAATGGTAACCTTTCACCACATACCATGACACCATAAGTTCAAAGTTGACTGGTATTGATACATATTAGGTTGTCCTAAAGTCTTTGCCCATTTGTGAATTTTTTTCAAATCCACTTTTCTTCTTTAGCCCAGTCAGCAATTTACAATCATATGCCCCATCATAATCGTCAACATATTGCCTTTCAGCAGGTGACTCGTGATGCCGTTTGCCTAGAAGTCCTGAGCTTTCAAGGCAAAAACTGGAAGAAGTCCGTTTTCGAGAAGTCCGGATTTATGAAGCTCTCCCTTTTTTTAGTTAATCAGCAGCAACAGAAGCAGACGGTATTCTGTTAGGGCTGCTGAACGCAATAGGCGAGACAGAACATCCCATAAGAGGCTTGGAAACTTTTGCTGAACCATCTTCAGAACTACTTGACGGTCGTTGCTTGGATGAAGTGAACTTTACAATGTTTTCCGAGCGTAGTGCTGGTGTAGTTATTAGTTTTCCCATATTATCGTTCAACAATAGCAGTGCAGTCCGTTGGATAAGCTATCATGAATCTCGTTGCAGCTCTACCAACTCCGAAAGTTGCAGTGCTGGAATGGACGTCGGCATCTCTGGTTCTACGCGTCTCAGCCAGTTGCACTCGCGGGTGTGGTTTACTTGAGAACCCACTCCTTGCTACCACTCAACAAAGTAGTCGGGTCAAACAAGATACAGCCGGTAATCAAAATGTTCATTCAAATCTCTGAAGGCTTCTGTAGCGGTTGTCACCCAGATCACGAAAAATCCCTTTTTTCCATAATTTCTTCTTCTTTTTGAAAGCTATTGAGGAATGGCTATTGTGTTATGATGACTGCAGTAAAGCTGTGTCAGTTAGTGTGCATTGCACCAGAGACTGTTTCCAGACAACTCCAGAAGACACTCGTCACTCAGGGTAACAAGCCAACCGACTTGGGCTTTTTTATTTCTGACATCGCACCAAACGTTATGCCATTTATGAAGACTCCTCTTAGGACATACATCGAAAACCAGGGCTTGCCGCGTCCTCTCAAAACGCTGTTCTGGGTCTCAAAATCAAGATATCAAAATGATTTTAATACAATCGATTTTTCCAGCCACTAATCGCTGCGCCACCATACACGCAGGAAAATCGGTCAAGACGAACATCGCGAATGGGTTAACATCCGTCTTGCAACGGATGGCCAAAAAGTTATACATTAACCAAACATGCTTTCAGTCAAAGTCGATTTTCTCAGCCATAATCGCTGCGAAATACCACGGCAGAAATGCTCTGAAGAGATCATTGACTAGGGTTTACATATGTTTTACAATGGATGTTCAAAAATTATCCCTGAAGATTTCACAACATACACATGGAAATGGGCAAAGACTTTCAGGACAACCTAATATATTAATATTTTATGATTGGTAATCATTTTTCAGGCGCTCAGCTGTGTGACACGTTGAGAGCACTCGGCACAGATAACCTTATATACCTGATGATGCTGGCGTTATTGGAACAGAAAATATTGGTCCATTCGCTGAGGTTTGTAACTTGAGGTTGGATATTGTGGCGAATAAATTACACACTTCTACATGTTTTGTGTTGTGCAGGTCGTGGATGCTCACTGCAGTTGCTGAAAGCGTATGTGCCTCTAATGTTTCCCTTCCATTGGCAATGCCCTTATGTTCCTCAGTGTCCGCTCGGGTTAGCCGGAGTTCTTCATGCTCCGTTGCCATTCATTGCTGGAGTGGATTCAAGGTCTTTTCGCCTATCTTATCTTTGAGAAACAAAATATGTCGGTTCGTGTTTTTAACGCTCATAATAAATTTTTGTACAGATATTTCGACTTATATGAAGATCCGCCACCTGATGTGACTTGCTTCGATCTGGACACGGCCACGATAAGTCAGTCGTTGAATCGACAAACACTAAAACTGTCAATTCTCCCGAAGAAACCAACGAAACAGTTGAAGGCTACCTTGGATGATCTATTCAGAAGGTTGGGAGAGTCTGCTTTTTTGAAAATTAAGCTAAAGTGGGACAGCACATGACTGTAATGACAGTGGCAAACCTTGGTTCCGGAATCGAACATTCATCTTTTCCTTTAGCCATTATTATAAAAGTACAAGTGTAGTAGTAGTAAAATTAGTTTAATATGTATGAGAGTCGCATTATTTCAGGTTGAATAAAGAAGCCTTCGACCTTGGAAGCAAAAAAGCAGACTACGTTCCTGTAGATCGTGAAATGGTGATACAAAAGAAGCGAAAAGAGCTGGAGATGGCGATCCACGACGCGTTTTTAAGGTTAATCAGCTTTGTTCTGAACAATCTTTCAGTACCGTACTACTAAATTTTCTTTGATCGCGACACAATTCAACCGGATGGAGTTTTTCAAAAGGTACTGGCTCAAATTTATTTCTTTTTGACATTTTGATCAAGAATTTTTGGCATTCATAGGTTCGGCGCAACTCAGTCTTTCATGCGTTTCATCGAAGAGCGTAGCTTCATATCCGATAAGAGCACTTACAACGCTTTCTTTGATGATTGTATAGCGAAGGGGACGAATTAACTACCTTCTCGAAGTTAAAGCATGATTTTTCATAACCTTTCAGATCGAAGGAGTTGATGTGCCTCCTTCTTGAAGTGATCTCCAGCAACAAGCGATCGAACGAGTATACTCTGTTATGGCATCTCCTTTGTTTTTCGGCTTTACTGCGAGAAGGACTAGCACTAAACATTTTACTTGCCCACTTCATTTGATTGTGTTCTGGCAGAACTTATAAGTACACGTTCCAGTTCAGTCATTCAGGCCGGCCGGACCGAGGCGCATTGATCCAGCTACGGGACTTGAGCGTGAATTCAAGTACGAGCGGTTTCCCCCGTCGTTTGGATCCTGCATTATTTCAGCTGGATCAACTGAATTTAAATCGCAGCGCAGAACACACTGTGCCAGTACAGTATGGTATGTTGTGGTTTATTCTGATATATGCAGTAACGCCACAGACAAAAAAACCGGTTACAACCAGAAGCCGCATTCAGCCAAAATGAATCGCTGTGTTGGGCTGGCGTCAAACTGCGAGCAATGGTTTTCGAATAACGCAGTGCTAGCGATTTGTTGCAAAGTCTGACTCGTGCCGAAGCCTTTTGTTATCACCGATTGATGAATTGATGATTGAAGAGTTGATAATAAACTAAAGGCTTATGGCTAGAGCGCTGGTCTAATCAACTTCAATCGTCTGTGCAACACCAATGATGCGGTCAATTGAGTTGCGAATACAAAATCGAAAGAGGGGTGGTGGGGGGGTCATATTTGTGCAATTCAGGTTGGCTGCGAAGAGTGCGCTTAACGGGTATATGTACAATTTGCGGCGGGGGGGACAGCTGTACATATGTGGGGACGTTACAAGATAACTTAGAGGTGGGTGTCAGGTTCCTTCGACCACTTTACACCCGCGAGGACAGCATTTCTAGGACAGACATGCCAGAAACTAAACCGTAGAATTTATCAAAACACATCAATAAATAACTGCCATATAAGGGGTGAAGGGAGGTCAGTGTAACGCAGGTTCAACCTACTTTTTACAGTAAACACGGGGGGGGGGGGTCGTACTCATGAGCTGGAGGGAGGGGGGTCGTACCCTCTCGTGGCCGACAGTGGGATTCTTGGTAATATCGGATAATAGCCAGCACGTTACGTTTTCGTAAGATGACTGATACAGCATCTATAAAGCACGATTCCCTCTAAATGAGCTTTCAAATAAATCAGCGAATTAGAAGGGCACCCGAGGCGTGGCGCGTACCAAGGCAAGGAACGTAGTGCAAGCGCATGCTCGATACTTTCTAGCACATCCTAAGTTGAACATACATTGGTCTTCCAAGAAGTTACGGGCACTGAAACCTAAGAAAACTCGCGTTTTCGAGAAAATGGCTTGAAGAATACCCCACAAAATAAAAAGTAACAACGGGCTAATTTTTGAACTGCTGATCTTTCAGAAACGCTTGGGTGCTCGTTAGAAAGCTTGAAACCTGTGGTATTACACCGTGTTCAGCTTCCCAAATGAATGACTTTGAAGGAAGTTATGATCGTTTGAAGGTCAAAAAGTCGCTGTTCCAAAAAAACAGTAACGCAAACCCCCAAAAAAGTAACAACGGGACTAATTTTTGAACTACTATGCTTCAGAACGCTTGTGCCCTTAGAAGCTTGAAATCCTTTATTAATTAACTTTTCTTCTCCAATGAGTGACTTTGAAAGAAGTTATGATCATTTGAAGGTCAAAAAGTCGCTTTGCACAGAAAAAAGTAACAACGTACTAAATTTTTATTAAATTAACTTTCGAAGAATTTTTACCATGGTTGGAGAGAGAATAATTTGAATTTTCCAAATCAAATCACTTCGGCGCTGAAGCTCGAATATGAAGGAAGTTATAGCCTTAGAAAGAGGGGTGTAAAAATTGTGTTGCAATTGAAGAACGTGAAGGATTTCACTATTTCAATTGGAGCGATAATTTTTTCTGACTTCTTAGTTTTTTATCAGGTAATGTTGTCAATATTACGGTCACTGGTTCAGCTTATTTCATCTCCTAGTTTGGTAACCCTTTGGAGTACACGGATATTTTTGAATGCATATCATTTTTTCGTGTTTGCAAGCAGCGATGAATTTCTGTCGTGGATTTTGCTAAAGTTTCATCTTTAATGACTTACGTAGAAATAAATATTGATGGTAAACACTGTCTCTACACAAGTGTTACATACAAAGGGGGGGGGGTCGTATCAAACCACCCCTGAAGGGGGGGGGTCGTAAAAAAATTTCCGGAAGAGTAACAACGATAGGGTTGACCTGGTTGGGGGTCTAATTCCTCTTGGCCCGCCCCCCTTAAATGACGTTGTAGGAGTCCTATCAAGACCCCTCGGGAGGGACCTAAATTTTCAAACCGCTACCAACGCTAAGTTTAACGGTTGACAGACTGTCAGATTGAGAAATGGCTTGGGAGAATGGCTGAACGAGTGTGATCTCATAGAAGATGCAATGCGATTAGATGAGAACACAGCTGTTTAGCATGATGTAAAATCTAGAATTGAAGTTGAACGACAGCGATAACGATATTATATCAAGTATACGCTGCCATTGCTGCCTGTTTCACGTCCCATATGGTGTGCGAGTGAAAACTCTATAAGCTGAAGAGCTCCGTCCCGGCGCCTCGTCTTGTTGTTGATGAGGTTTCATTGCCCGTACGCGCCAATCATCGCCTGCCCAACCTACTATGCATCCCCCTCATCCAGTCCTACGGGCAGGGTGAATAACGGTCGAGGATTTCCTCGACCATAGCTCTCTACCATGCGAGAGTAGTGCCGAGAGTGAACATCCGCGCGGAGAGCACAGACGGCACGCGCATGGCGAGTGTGAATGTCCGCGCGAGAGATCGTGTCTGATCGGGCAGAGAATCCTCGACGTGCCGTTGAGGAATCCTCAAGCGATATTCACCCTGCCTACGGGATCTATCGCGACCGTTTCTTTCAAGTGGGAACCTTGATGTATGCTGTCTGGAGTGCTTCGTACTGCTTGAAAGATGACGTTAGATAGAACATTGAGCACTTGAGCGCCTACAGAACTTTATTATTCTATGATATTTTTTAGAACACAACCGATGTGCTGCTGTTCGTACGAAACCAGAAATGAAATCCTCCATTCTTGCGGCGACCAACTCTGTGCGCACAAATCCTTTACACTGGCCGAAGACGCTCCTTTTCTATGCCTATTCGTTATGGTTTATGCAGTTGCCTAGCCTCATCTCCATCGCCCCAAACAAGCGAAAAATCTTGTTCTTGGCTTTTCATGTAAGTGTTTTTGTTGAAAGATACTGCTATTTATTGTTTAAAAAGGCTTGGAGTTTCAGGTATTGGATAGGATGGAACATACTGAAGTTTTTCCTCTTGATCAAGTTTGCTACCGCATCTTGATTGAGCTTTGCGGCGAGTGCGGGGAGCCTTCGCTGGCTGTGAAGGTCCTTCAAGTGCGTGGACTCTTAGCACTTTATTTTTTCCTTTCATCATTGGCGTATCTCTGTTAACAACTTTTGTACTGCAGGCAATGCATCGTGCTGGAGTTGAACAGAACGCAGTTACCTACGGAATTTACCACCGCGCCTGTGTTGAACGCTAAGTGGCCTACAACTTCGCGACAACGAGCCATATCTGCATGGGCGACACTACGGTCGGTGAAGTTCAACGACAAATGACGTGGATTTGACATCAGTTCTTCTTTTGGCCGATGTCAGACTTTGCGAATCGCGCGATTCGCAAAGTCTGACATCGGCCTTTCTGAGACGATTTCAGTGGTTCAAAGTTGAATGCGTTGAGCCTGAAATTTTTTTTGCAATAGATTTCTGTTCTTTTCAGGTTGTATCTACAAGTTGTGACCAAGTTCAAAATCTGCATAAGATCGAATGCACATGCAACGTACCCTTCTGCTACAGATACACAATCAGTGAGTGATAGTGGATATCACAGTGATAAAGCAGCGGAAGAGAAG